GGGCGGGCCTGTCCTCCGCCCGCCTCCCAGGGCTCGGGGCGGAGCCGCTTCTCTTAAGGAGACAGGCGGGTTGCGCGAATAGCTCCTGATGGGCACAATCCTGTTACCTTTCCTCCGCGTACTTTTAATGCTTGATTTTGATAATGTGATTTATAAATCCGTCTTGCCCTGGACTTACAGCAACGCGTGCTCAACCCGTGGTCTGACTGTGACGATGTCGCCCAGCTCCTTCAGGGCTGACTCGGTGTCCAGCAACGCACTGAAAAGCTATTCACACATTAGCGCGATATTGGGGGGGGGCGGGGTATTGTTATTCGCATTTTGTAGATGAGAAAAGTCAGAGAGCTCCCCTGATTTCCTGTGGCCCTGGCTGGTGGCTCAGTGGTTACAGCCGCTGCCCGCTGGCCGAAGGGGCTCGGGCGCGATTCCCAGCCAAGGGCACCTACCTGGGTTGCAGGTTTGCTCCCCCCCCCCAAGCCTGGAAGTAGCTCTCTCACATCGATGTTTCTCTCTCCCTCCCTTCCTCTCTTCCACTCGCTCTGCAAAAACAATGGGAAAAATATCCTCAAGCGAGGATCAACAACAGCAGAAAGATTTCCTGCGGTCACACAGCCTGGGCAGGGCCGAGCCGCAGAGCCTGTGCACTTTCCAGCAGACCGGGGTGTGTTTCCTCTTGCTGAGCATCCCACAAGTAGCGGGCAAGGTGGGTTTTCCATACAATGGTATGATGCCTCAGGAGAGAGCGCCTTGGAGGGAGGGACAAGAAGGGGCCGGGTATCCCAGCTTCGCTGGCTGGGGTTCGGCAGCGCCTCCAGGACGCGTTTTGGTCAGAACAGTCAGCCAGCTCATAGGGCAGCTATGCTCCGGAGGTTGGCAACTTGTCACTGATGACTGTTGAGCAACTGCTGCGTGTCAGGCACTGGGCTGTTATCTCACTTGCTCTCACAATGAGGTAATTACTGTTATTATCCCCATTTTACGGATGAGAAATCCGAGACTCTTGGAGGTTAAGTGACTTGCCCAAGATCCCCAGTCTTTTTGGAAATGAAAGAGTCCCTGGAGCCAGACAAACCCTGTTTGAACCTGGGTTCTGTTACTCAGTTTCTCATCTGTAAAAGGTGAACTCATGGATTGTTGTGAAGTGTTAAATAAAAATGCATGTAAACTCCAAGGCCCCAGTGGAGTGAAGCAGGGAAGTCAGGGAAGTCAGGGAAGCTGCTGTGGTCACCCGGCCTGAAGAGATGAGAACCGGTCTGAGATNGGAAGCTGCTGTGGTCACCCGGCCTGAAGAGATGAGGACCGGTCTGAGATGAATCTGAGAAATGTTTCCAAGGAAAAACAAAAAACTCCTGGATGTGACGAGAGACTGNCTGTGGTCACCCGGCCTGAAGAGATGAGAACCGGTCTGAGATGAATCTGAGAAATGTTTCCAAGGAAAAACAAAAAACTCCTGGATGTGACGAGAGACTGAATGGGGTTAGGGAGGAGAGAGCCGGAAGTCACAGACTAAAGGCTTCTCTGAGCCCCGGAGGAGCAGTGAAGATCGTGTGTGAAAGAAGCTATGGGAGAGAACTGTCTGTGTATGGGGCATATTGAGATGGGGAGTTGGAAAGGGACCATCATTCATTCATTCATTCATTCAACAAACACATGTGAGTTGAGGGGCAGATGCGAACAGTAAGAGCCAGATTGCCTGAGTTCAGATCCCAATTCTGCTACTTCCTGTTGTGCCAACTGATTCATCTCTCACTGCCCTCAGCTGTGAAATGGGCACCATAAGAACGCCTTCCTCGTAGAACATCAGGAGGATTAAATGAATTGATGCGAGAAAAGTGCTTAGGAGAGTGCCTGGCATGTGTTGTGCTCTTACTATGTGCTAGGCACTGAGGATGCAGAAAAGAACAGGCGTGGTCCTTGCCTTCTAGGAACTCTCCGACCAGTGGGAGAGACAGGCAGTTACACACAATGCGAGAAGGTTGCCATAGAAACACAGAGACAAGATACCAGTTGATTTGTGTGTGTGTGTGTGGGGGGGGGTTATTCTAAGCAGTGACTAGAGGCAGCTGGAGACAGCATGGCGGCCTGTGGGGGAGCCACGGCAAAGGGCATTGCTGGAGTGGAAGGAACCGATGGCGGCAGGAGGAGCTAGGGCTGGAGATTGACAGAGGCAGATTATCAGGGCCCTTGATTGTGATGTTCAGAACTGTGGACACTCTTCTGTAGATCATGGCAGTTGAGGGAATTGGCAGGGTCAGACCGGCATTTGAGACAGATACTGTGGTGGCTAGGAGGTCAGCCGGGAGGTCATGGTCCAAAGGACAGATGAGGGTGTCCTGAGACAGGCTCATGGCAAATAGCATGGAGAGTAGGGGTACATTCGAGAAATACTTTAGAGACAACATCAGTGAACTTGGTCACTGACTGGTTCAGTGCGTTAGGGGGTTGGTGAAAGCAGACGGGGGAAGGCTTTCAGGATTCTGGAGCTGGAAATGGGTAGTTGTTAGTTCCAATCATCAGTAAAGAGAACACAGGAGTAGGATTAGATGTGGGGTGGGTATAAATTAGCGTGTTGGTTCACCTCTCTAAAAAGTGAACTCCTGGAGGGAGAGGAGACTATGTTAACGCTATTATCACCTCAAAGGCTAGCATAGCCTCTTATTATCTATTTCATGAATTTATTAATTAAACCACAAATGAGAGGCCAGAAACATAGAGGATAGAGGACAGAGGCTTGGAGAATTCCCATAATTAAGGGTTTGGAAAAAGTAGCAACAATGGAGGTAGTGGAGGGTTGAGATAGGAAATGTATGTGTGCTGGGCACAGGGTGTCCCTTTCTTTAATATGTCAACCTCCTTTACCCTTTCTCAAACCAGACAAGACCTTGACTTCCACTGCCCCAGGGAAAGGGAAGCTATGATTAAAATGTAAGCATCTTTTCGTCTGCTTATTAACCATTTGTATATCTTTTGTGGAGAAATGTCTGTTCAAGGTTTTTGCTCATTTTTTAATCGGGCTTTTTTGTTGTTGAATTCACCCTAAATCCTTTTGGAAACAACACTGAGTAAGGGAGAAAAGTGTTACATAGCTGTTAGGTATTATGCTCTCCTTCATTATCCCAATCTTTTAAAAACCCTGATATGCAGATACATGCCCTGGAACACTCCAGGAAACATTCACTCCTGATGGCTTTCACTGGTCCAGCCATAGCTGCCTGCATGTCCCAGCCTAATGCGCAGGAAATAGCCATACACATATCCATACACTGGGTACGTTTTTATTGGGTGCATCATAAACATAACCTTATCTAATACTTAAACAACTTTATGAAAATATATGCCAGGATTTGCTTTTACAGTTGAAGAAACTGAGCCTCAGCTCAATTTGGGATTCTGCCCAAGGTCAAGTAGCTGGGATGCAAACCCTGGTCTCACATGGCCTTGCCTCCACTCATCTCTCCCAGTCACCTCTACTTCCTCTTTCCTGTCTGAGCCTGTCCCCCAGCTCCCTGGATAAGCTTAAGCTGCTATTTCTCAACTCACAAAGGAGTCACGGCTTAATCCTGGGGATTGCTAATCAAGCAAGCAAAGTGGCTGCCCCNAGCTCCCTGGATAAACTTAAGCTGCTATTTCTCAACTCACAAAGGAGTCATGGCTTAATCCTGGGGATTGCTAATCAAGCAAGCAAAGTGGCTGCCCCCAGAATCCACTTATAGGCCTTTTTCTAGCTCTCCTCTATTCAACAAGCATTTTTATTTATTTATTTTATTTTATTGTGCTGGGTGCTAGAGCATCAGGGAAGATAGACCTAAGCTAAAAATGATAAGTCAGTCTAAGTGATATGTGCTGTATCAGCCGTGTGGATTATAGCATTATAGGAAGCTGGAGCAGGGAATTCCGAGTCCTGGGAACCTTGTGTGAATCTTGCGCATCCATCCAGGGCAAAATCTAGGCTCCATGGAAGAAGCAAAGCTTCTTGTCTTTTGCATTCCGATGGACAAGGCATGGTTAATCTTTNAATTCCGAGTCCTGGGAACCTTGTGTGAATCTTGCGCATCCATCCAGGGCGAAATCTAGGCTCCATGGAAGAAGCAAAGCTTCTTGTCTTTTGCATTCCCTGATGGACAAGGCATGGCTAATCTTCGTGTTCCCTGTGCCTTACACAGAGCTGTGCTCCATAGATATTTAAAAGTTNGATGGACAAGGCATGGTTAATCTTTGTGTTCCCTGTGCCTTACACAGAGCTGTGCTCCATAGATATTTAAAAGTTGGGAATAGGGCCACCTGAAACTAATATTGTATGCCAACTGTAATTGAAAAATAATTTAATAATAATAAATAATAACAATGATAACTTTTAAAGGCTGAGAACAGCGTCGAGGCAGGCACACCATAAAGGATCCAGCAGTGCCTGGAACCAACAAAGGGCTGTTAAAAGTGAACCCAGAAAGCCGCCTCATTTTTCTTTCTCTATTCTACCTAGCAACTGATGACACTACAAGGTCCCCTGTTTTTATTGGGAGAGGACCCTGAGCGTCTGGAAGTTTCTAAATCGCTGACGAGTGGGTGGGATTTAGGTTCCGTCGAGGTCCGCGGGGACCTGTTGTGTTTTGTTTAGAAGAATCTGAAAGAAAGGACTTTAGAAGGGCCGATGACGCTCCTGTTTCCCCTCCTTATTGTATTTACGGTGAAGCACAGCGCTGCCCGTGAGTATCCCGCGTTCTCTCAGCCCCGGACTCCGAAGCCGAGCCGCTGAGGGGGCGCGGCTGGTCCCCCGAAGCTCGCGGTGGAAAGTGGGAGCAGCCGGGCGCGAAAGCGCGCTCGTGGCTTC